AACCTAATAAAGAATTTCAAAGACTCTTCATCCATTTTATTCTTACTCTTTATTCTTTTTTTTTTTAAAGAACCTAGAAATGCAATAAAGCAGGGAAAAAAGCAAAAGGCATACAAAGGCATAAAATATCCCTATTTGTACATGATATTATTACATACATATTATTGCTTACATAGAAAAATATTCAAATAATCTATTTTCTAAAAACTTCCTAAAGCTAAGTGAGCTCAGCAAAGTTATCATATTATACATTTATCAAGACTGAGTGGTGTGTGTACATGTGTCTGTGTATCACCTTTTCATTATCCATTTATCTGTTGATGGGGATTTAGGTTAATTCTATATCTTGGGTCTGATGAATAATATCAAAAAGAGCATGGGAATACAAATATCTTTTTGAGATACTGATTTGAGATTTTATATATATAATACATATATTATATATATATATATATATATATATATATATATATATATATTCAGAAAAGGAATTGCTAGATCATATGGTAGTTCCAATTTTATTTTTTTGAGGAACCTCCATTATTATTTTCCACAATGACTGTATTGATTTATATTTCTACCAATATTAAACAAGGGTCCCCCTTTCCTCACCAAAACTTATAATTTTTCTTTGTTTTTGATAATAAACATTCTAACAAGTGCAAGCTGATAATTTTGATTTGCATTTCACTAATGTTTATTGATGATTAGCATCGTTTCAAATACCTTTTAGCCATTTGTGTGTCTTCTTTTGAGAAGAAACTATTCAGATTCTTTGCCTACTTTTTAATTTGCTTATTTAGTTTTTGTTATTGAATTGTGTTTTCTATCTATTTTGGATAGTAGCCTCTCACCAGATGTATCGTTTGCATTTTCTCCTATCACATGGGTTGTCTCTTCACTCAATTGTTTCTGTGCATAAGACTTAAAATTTTATGTCATCTCATTTGTCTATTTTTACTTTTGCTGTCTATGTTCTGGGTTCATATCCAAGAAATGATTATGCAGATCAATCTCTAGAAACTTTTTCATTGTTTTCTTCTGGTAGTTTACAGTTTCAGATCTTAAATTTAAGTCTTTAATCTATATTTGAGTTTATTTCTGTATATGGAGTAAGATAAGGGTCCAATTTTGTCTTTTGTATATAGATATCCAGTTTTCCCAACATCATTTGTTGAAGAGACTCTCTCCATCGTGTGTTCTTGCCCCTTTATTGAGTGTCAATTGGCCATAAACGTGTGGATTTATTTCTGGGATGTCTACTCTGTTACATTGGTTTATATATCAGTTTATATACTAGTTTTTACGCGAGTACTATCCTGTTTTAATTACCATGGCTTTGTGTCATGCCTCCCACTTTGTTCTTTTTGCTTAATATTACCTTCACTAGTAGGGTTTTTGTTTATATGTTTGTTTGTTTGCTTGCTTGCTTGTTTTTAATGCCATAGGAATTTCAGGATTGTTCTATTTCTGTGAAGAATGTCACTGAAATTTTCATAGGAATTTCATTGAGTCTATAGATCACTTTGCATAGTATGGAAACTAGCAGTTTCATAGTTTCAAGTCTTAAGCTTATGTTTTTAATCCATCTTGAATTGATTTTTGTATATGGTAAAAGATGGAGATCTAGTTCCATTTTTCTGCATATGGATGTCTAGTTTTTTCAACACCACTTATTAAAGAGATTGTCCTTTTCACATTGTATGTTCTTGGCATCTTTGCCAAAAATGAGTTAGTTGTAAATGTGTGGATTTATTTCTGAGTTCTCTATTCTGTTCCATTGGTCTATGTGTCTGTTTTTATGATAGCATTATGTTGTTTTAGCTACTATAGCTTTGAGATATAATTTGAAGTTAGGTGGTGTCATGCCCCTAGTTTTGTTTTTTGTTTTGCTCAGGATTGCTTTAGCTATTCAGAGTTTATTGTGAGTCCATACAAATTTTAGAATTGTATTTTACTACTTTTGTGAAGAATGTTATTGGTATTTTTATAGGGGTTGCATTATCTGTAAATTGCTTTAGGTAGTAAGACATTTTAACAATATTAATTCTTCCAATACACAAGCATAGGATACCTTTCCATTTGTGTGTGTGTCCACTTCGATTTTGTTCATGGATGTGTTATGGTTTGTCTTGTAGAAATCTTTCACTTGATAAATTTATCCTGAGCTATTTTGTTTTTTGTAGCTATTATAAATTGAATTGCTTCCTTGTTTTATTTTTCAGATTAATTGCTGATAGCATATAGACATGCTACTGATATTTGTATGTTGCTTCTGTGTCCTGCAACTTTATTGAATTCATTTATCAGTTTTTACATTTTTCCTCCTCCTTTTTGTTTTCTTGGAATTTATTTATGGAATAAACTGGAATGTTTTGTCAAGTTTGTTTGTTTTAATATGAATATTTCTGACTTCCTTTCTTGGTATTTTAACTTGCCTGCTTGACTTCTGTCTTGACTATTTTCAGTAAACTCGTGGTGGGATATGACCCAAATTTGTTATTTTGGTAAAATACCCAGTGTTCTCTAATTTTGCTTTGTTATTATTTTTCTTCAGTTTATAATTTCTATAGGTACATTATAGGTGATATATTTATGGGGTCCATGGGATTTTTAAAATATTTTAACATTTTAGGCTCAGGGGTACAAATTTTTTATATAGGTAATGTTTGTTATATAGATAAACTCATGACTCGGGAGGTTTGGAGTACAGATTATTTCCTCATCCAGGTACTAAACATAGTACTCAATAATTTTTTAAAAAATTTTTCTGAACCTCTCTCTCCTCTCACCCTCTACTCTCAAATAGGGCCCAGTGTCTATATTTTTCCTCTCTCTGTCCATGTGTCCTCACTTTTTAGCTCCCACCTATAAATGGGAAAATGAGGGACCTGGTTTTCTGTTCTTGCAAAGGTTTTCTAAGAACAATGACCTCCAGGTCCATCTATGTTCCCACAAAGTATATTATTTCATTCATCTTACGGCTGCATATTCCATGCTATATTTGTACCACAGTTTCTTTATCCACCCTATTGTTGATGGACATTTAGGATGATTCTATGTCTTTGCTTTTGCTATTAGTGCTGCAATTAACTTATCCAACCATGTGTCTTTATGGTAGAATGATTTATATTCCTTTGGTCATATACCCAGTAGTGAGATTGCTGGGTCAAATGGTAGTTCTGTTTTGTTCTTTTTAGGATTTGCTACACTGCTTTTCACAATGGTTTAACTAGTTTACACTTCCACCAACAGTATATAAGTGTTCCCTTTTCTCTGCAACCTCATCGGCATCTTTTACATTTTGAGTTTCTAATAATAGTCATTCTGACTGGTGTAAATGGTATCTTATCATGGTTTTCATTTGCATTACTCTAATTATTAGTGATATTGCACTTTTATTCATATGCTTGTTGGTCACATGTATGTTTTCTTTTGAAAAGTGTGTGTTTATGTACTTTGTCCACTTTTTAATGGGGTTGAGCTTGGAATTTTCTGGGTCTCACCTGAAGCCAGAATGTCTGAGTCTCACCCAAGGCCCATGAAATACTTACTACTTGGGTATTGCTGCTGGTTATTCAGGCCCCAAGGTTGCTTTAGTCATCAGGTGATCAATCCTGCCAGGACTGGGCCCTTACCTGCAGGGCAGTAGATTTCCTTCTGGCCCAGAGTGTGCCTAGAAATGTTGTCCAGGAACTAAGGCCTGGACTGGGGGCCTCACAACTCTGTCTGGTGCCCCACCTACTGTGGCTGAGCTGGTATCCAAGATGAAAGACAAAATCCTCTTGCTCTAGCTTATATTCTTCTCAAGCAGAAGGAAGGAGTCACTTTTGTTTCTGAGCTGCACTGCCTGAGACTGGGGGAAGGGCAGCACAAGCACTCCCTTAGCTGCCCCAGCTGGTGTCTCACTAGGTCATGTTCCTACCCACTTCCACTGCCTCTGAGCCCAGCACAACTAGAACTAGCCTAGGAGTTACCATCCTTGTGTCCTAGACTTCCTTTCAAGTTTATTGAGGACCCGAGAGCACTTTAGCTCAGGGTTGTGAGGCTTGCTGAAACTCAAGTGCTGACTGCTGGCATGTGTGATTCCTCTCTGGCCAGGGCTGATCTAAATCTTCCCTCTATGGGTGTACATTGCCTGAGTTCTGCCTGGTGTTGCCTTCCACTGCCAGGGCAGCACTGAGTTCAAAGCCACTGTGTTCTCCCTCCCGCAAGTGCTTGGATTCTCTCTCCACACCATGTGTCCACTGCCAAGGGATGGGGTATGGGTGGCGACAGAAATTCAAAACTGTCTTTCTACCCTCGTCAATGCCCCTTTCAGCAATACGACATTAAAACCAGATACCATGATTGCTCACCTGATTTTTGGTTCATATGAAAGCGCTTTTTTGTGTAGATAGTTGTCAGATTTGGAGTTCCTGCATGGAGGATGACTAGAGAAGCCTTACATTTGGTCATCTTACTCTACTCCCTCTGGCATTTTGTGATACTTTCAACCCTTGACGATTTTTCCCATTATTTCACTAGGGAAAGAAAAGTCACTCTAATTCTATTATTTCCTATTAGCTATCATACTTTTATAAAGAAGAATAATGCCCATGCCTTCTACCCGTCATGTTTCTACAGTAGATCTGCAGTCTATTTCTTTGGGATCACTGTTTCCTGTTTAAAATACAGCATTTTGTACTAAGCTCTTCAGGATCACTTGCTGTATTAAAAGAAAGTATTACTTGGTTAAATATGAAAAAGAAAACAGTGTTGCATGCTATCAAGTGGAACTTTTGTCATCAATAAGCTTAATTTACAGTCATTCCCCCTTTTCATTTAAAAGGAAGTACATTTTAAAATCTGATTCCCATAGTCGTATTTGCTAGTGTGCATGAATCAATGGCAGCTGATATCAGAGGCGGTGTTTTTCCAATAATTTTGTGTTTTCTCCTTATTTTCTATGCAGATTGAAGAGCTCACATCTCTCCAGAGCCCTCAGCTGCCTCCCTAGGATGCTCCCTCCACAGTCCTATGTCAACATCTCCTTCTTCCAGCCACCTGCTTTTCTCATGATTGGCATCCCAGGGCTGGAGGCCATTCACACCTGGCTCGCCATCCCCTTCTCCTCCATGTACACTGTGGCCCTCACTGGGAACTGCCTGATCCTCCTAGCTGTGAAGAGGACCCCCAGCCTGCACCAGCCCATGTACTACTTCCTGTGCATGCTGGCGCTCACTGATGTGGGCCTCACCTTGTCCACACTGCCCACCACCCTGGCTGTGCTCTGGTTTAACTATCGGCTCATTGGTTTCAATGCCTGCCTGGTCCAGATGTTCTTCCTGCACTCCTTCTCTGTGGCGGAGTCCTCAGTGCTCCTGGCCATGTCCTTTGACCGCTTTGTGGCCATCTCCAACCCCCTGCGCTATGCAACTGTCCTTACAAATAATGTCATCATCAGGATTGGGCTGGCCATTGTGGCTCGAGCCACTGTGTCCCTCTTCCCTGTGCCCTTTTTGCTGAAGCGATTGAACTACTGCCCTGGAAAGATCCTCTTGTCTCATTCATTCTGTTTCCATGCAGATGTCATGAAACAGGCCTGTGCTGACATCACAGTCAACATCCTTTATGGGCTCTATGTGGTTCTGTCCACAGTGGGTGTAGACTCCTTGCTTATTGTCCTGTCCTATACACTTATTCTTTATACGGTGATGAGGCTGGCCTCTCCCAGGGAGCGTATCCGGGCCCTCAACACCTGTGTGTCTCATATCTTAGCTGTCCTGGTTTTCTACATTCCAGTCATAGGTGTGTCTATGATCCACCGTTTTGGGAGGCACCTACCCCACATTGTCCATGCCCTGGTTGCCTATGTGTATCTGGTGGTGCCTCCTGTGCTTAACCCCATCATCTATAGTGTGAAATCTAAGCCCATCAGGGAGGCCATGCTCAAGGTACTGAGAAGGAAGGGACAAAGCTGATGAAGTAAGAAAATAACCTAAGGATCTGGAAGAAAAATATGGCCAAACAGTCTTATCTTATGCCCAGAAAGCCCTTACTCAAATCTCTTGCCCAGACACATTATAAAGTCTATGACAAGCAATTGCTTACCCTCAGACGGATAGGTAAAGAACAATTCTCCAGGCAAGACACAGAAAGACCCCACATCTTTGACAGTTTTTAGTGACCTGGTGAAAATCAAATTGTCACTTCATGTATCAAAACTTTCCTAGCACCTATTTCTATCCTTAGCCTAAAATTTTCTCATTCGTGGGTCTTGATTACTAGAGAATGTCAGGATTTTGCACTCACATCTTACACACACACACACACACACACACATACATTGGAGTTTTAACAGCTGTTTTATGGGAAAGGCTGCAGTTTTCACCTTTCTTTGATGGATTTAAGCATTTCTCTACACTCACATTAGTAAAAATGTTTTCCTTTGTCTACCAGGCAAAGTAATTTTGAGACTCCAATGATGTAATTACTGTGAAAGCACTTAGAATACTGCAAAAAGTACGGTATCAATGGAATAACAATGGGGATAAGGACAAAAACAACAAAGGTGATGATGATAATTATGAGCATTGATAGTGTGCTTTATATCTTAAAATTAGCCCTTTCATTTTGTGAAGACACTGTATGTTAAAGTGAAAGCAGTATAAACTGTATAGTTAGCAGCAACTAAATTCTATAATGCAATATATTATCTTTTATTCTTGAAAATGCTAAGGCCAGGTATGGTGGCTCATACCTGTAATGCCAACACTTTCAGAGGCTGAGGTGGGAGGATTGCTTAATCACAGGACTTCAAGACCAGACTTAACAACATTGTGATACCCTGTCTCTACAAAAATTTTAAAAATAAATAATTTGCTAGGCATGGTGGCACAGACCTGTAGTCCCACCTACTCAGGAGTCTGAGGCAGAAGGATCACTTGACCCCAGGAGTTTGAGGCTGCAGTAAGCAAGACCCTATCTCAAAAAAGAAGGAAAGCTCCAGGATATCACTATAGAATAGCCTCAGAGTCCACAGCTGAGGTTGGAGATGGAGGAAGGAAGGAAGGAAGGGAGGGAGGGAAGGGAGGGAGGGAGGGAGAAAAAATGGTAAGAGAGTAAATTTTAACTGATCTTCATCACAAAAATCATAAATGTATGAGGTCATGCTTGTGTTAATTAGCTAGATTTCACTATTCCACAGTGTATATATACTGGAAAACTTCATATTGTACAGGATAAATACATACATTTTTATGTCAATTTTAAAAAATAAACATGAGAACAAAGAACTAAATTCTAAATCTACCATTGCCGTTCATGTTTTGCTAACTAGAGCAGAGTTACACTAACCCTGGAGAATTTGAATTTCATTTGAGGGCATATTAGTTAATGTCTGCACATTCCTGGAAGAGTTAATAATACAGAGCAAGGGCTAAGGAAAATGAAAAACAATTAATGAAAAAGCCCACATAGCACAAATAAATGCCTTCCTACTGACAGTCCTATCAATGTCCTTCTATCTGCCCAAATTGAAGAGATTACATCTCTCTGGAGCTCTCAGCTGCCTCCCTAGGATGCTCCCTCCACAGTCCTATGTCAACATCTCCTTCTTCCAGCCACCTGCTTTTCTCATGATTGGCATCCCAGGGCTGGAGGCCATTCACAGCTGGCTCGCCATACCCTTCTCCTCCATGTACACTGTGGCCTTCACTGGGAACTGCCTGATCCTCCTAGCTGTGAAGAGGACCCCCAGCCTGCACCAGCCCATGTACTACTTCCTGTGCATGCTGGCGCTCACTGATGTGGGCCTCACCTTGTCCACACTGCCCACCACCCTGGCTGTGCTCTGGTTTGACTATCGGCTCATTGGTTTCAATGCCTGCCTGGTCCAGATGTTCTTCCTGCACTCCTTCTCTGTGGCGGAGTCCTCAGTGCTCCTGGCCATGTCCTTTGACCGCTTTGTGGCCATATCCAATCCCCTGCACTATGCAGTTGTCCTCACAAATAATGTCATCATCAGGATTGGGCTGGCCATTGTGGTTCGAGCTACCTTGTGCCTCTTCCCTGTGCCATTTTTGATTAAGTGTCTAAATTTCTGCCCTGGCGATAACATCCTGTCCCACTCATTCTGTTTCCACCCTGATGTGATGAGGTGGGCCTACGCTGACATCACGATCAATATATGCTATGGGCTCTACGTGGTTGTATCTACAGGGGGCATAGACTCCCTGCTCATCATCCTGTCCTATACCTTCATCCTGCACACAGTCATGGATCTGGCCTCTCCCAGGGAGCGCATCCGGGCCCTCAACACCTGTGTTTCCCACATCCTGGCTGTCTTTGTCTTCTTCGTTCCAGGTATCACCATGTCCATGATGCACCGTTTTGGGAGGCACCTGCCCCACACTGTACATGCTCTTGTTGCCTATGCGTACCTGGTGATACCTCCTGTGCTCAACCCCATCATTTACAGTGTGAAGTCCTAAGCCCATCAGGGAGGCCATGCTCAGGATGCTGAGGAAGAGATGCCAAGGATGATGAAATTACAACATATCTTAAGGCTAGGGTAACATAAAAGAGACTGCTAGAGCCTTACAGAAACCTGTTAGAACCAGCGAGCACTGAAAATCCATAATCTGTGCTAAGACAGTGGGAAGCTCATAGGTTTATTTGTGTTACAAATTTACGTTCAGCATTTACTTTGTAAGAAAGTAGTGATAAGGATGAAAGGCTGAGAAATAAGTGAAATGTGTTCCCTTGTCGCCGAAAGCTCACAGTCTTGTGCCAGGAGAAAGGCAAGTGAAAACACAACCAGACTATAAACTAGTAAGTTACATAATAAAGTTATTCTCAAAGGATTGCTAGAGACTACAAATTGGTCATTGGCACAACATGTCTGGGAAGGTGTGGCAAGCTGCCACAAAGGAGATAATAATTTTTACTTCACCTTGAAAAATTTAGAGTATTTCTAGGCAAACTAAGAATTAAATAAGAGAGAAAATCTAGAGCAAAAGAGCAACATGAAAAGAAGACGCCATATTTTGAAAAAGAAAAGATGTTTGTGAAAAGGTGTGCATTCCTGTACTTCTTTATGTCTCCATCACTTATGTCTTCATAGGCATGCCTGTGGCATAGAGCAAGAAAAGGGAGTGGTGTGGATGAAGGAGTAGGTGACCAAATTGTATAGGACTGTACGTACTATGCTGAGTGGTTTGGTTTGTATCTAGTACATAAAAATCATTACATTTTACTATGAGTTAGTAGTGTAAATTGCAGATTAGAAGTGCATTGGACATATGAACAAAACTGGAGCCAGGACGACTAATCAGTTTAACCTCTTATCTGGCCTCAGGGCTTTCCCAGATACCGTTTATGTTGCCTGGAATGTTCTCATTCTCCCATGCCTGTGTCTCATTTCTACCTGCTCCTCTCATTTGTCAAGTATAAACCTAATTTCTCAGAAAAGCCTGTCTCATTAATTCTCCTTTCCAGATTATTCAAGGGACTGTGTTTGCTTCTTGCATATAAACAATAGTTTGTCATTCAACTAGATGGTAAGCCCTGAGGGTGCCAGCATATACTCAGTGCCTAGTGCTGTTGGTGGAACAGTAGATGCTCAATAATTATTTTGAAGATTTAATGATAAATTATTTTGAACAGGAGATAAAGCAGTGGGTTTTTTAAGAGGTAATTTGGAGATGTTTTCCTCTAGGGAGCTTCTGGTCCTTCAGAGGAAAGAATACATATAAATAATTGTAAACGTTTGTGAGAAAGTTTTCAGCTACATTGGGTAGATGAACTGGAGGCATGAGAGATGCAATACAGCTGACTGACAAAATTAAGTACTCTCTCTTAGTCAAGAAAAGTTTCCTAATTTCTCACCATAGGGCATCTCCTGGGCCTTTTTGGTGGAAGTGATGTCCTTCACACCTCTGGGAGATGAGTACTGGATAAAGCTGGAAACCATCATTCTCAGCAAACTGACACAAGAACAGAAAACCAAACATCAGATGTTCTCACTCGTAAGTGGGTATTGAACAATGAGAACACATGGACACAGAGAGAGGAACATCACACACCACGGCCTGCCAGGGGGTTGGGGCATAGGGGAAGGGTAGCAGGAAGTCAGGGGACTGGGGAGGGATAGCATTAGGAGAAATACCTAATGTAGATGACAGTGTGATGGATGCAGCAAACCACCATGGCACGTGTATACCTATGTAACAAACCTGCATGCTCTGCATATGCACCCCAAAACTTAAAGTATAATTTTAAAAAAAGAAGAAATAAATAAAAAGAGCTTTAGAGGATAAATACTAAGATTTGTTTATGTGTTCCTGCTGGAATGCACTTTCTTACAAGGTGAAGTTGCAAGGACATGTGCATCTTTCTCTTCACCTGTACCACTATTCCTCCTACTACGTGTGAGGTCGGTTTCACAGGATCTCAGTATGCAGCGTCTGCATTGGGTAAGTAGAATGATACGTTACAGTGTGTGAGTACACAAGCTTTAGAGTCAGGACAACAAAACTTACTCAAACTCTGTCACAACTGTCTCATTCACATCAGCTATCTGACTTGGAGTATTTTATTCTTCATGTATTAATAAATAGTTCTTCATTTTTTTCTTTAGTGACTCCTGTGAGCCAGACACTCTGTTACATGATGGGCAAGATTAGAATGCTACAAAAACCAGACTTGATCCTTGTGGAAGGAAGACATACTAATTAAATATGTTTGCAAAGAAATATAAATTTGCAATGGCATTAAGCACTATCCATTCAGGATTCTCTTCCCCCAGGGGACTGTGTACTCCATGAGGGAGGAGTTTAAACCACCTTTGTTCTGCATTGCATTCTCAGTGCTGGGTTCACACTCATTTTAATAGCACTAAGAATGTATTTGATCATTGCATTAGTTTCCTATTGCTGCACAGCAAAAAAAAAAAGAAAAGAAAAAAAGAAAAAAAAGACAGCTTAAACCAATACCCATTTATTAGTTCATATTCTGAAGGTCAGAAGTATGGGTGACCTTCTTAGCCTTAAGAGAAGTATGACTGGGTTTCTCATATGGCTAAAATAAAAGTTGCAGCTGACTGGGTTCTAATTTGGGAGCCTAGGGGAAGAAACCACTTTCATTCTGGTTATTAACAGAATCCAGTTTCCTGAAGCCATGCCACTGGAATCACTTTTCCATTGCTCTCTGTTGGCCTCCCTCCACTCCCTAGGCTACCCACATTCCTTCTCACATGCTCCTCCATCATCAAGCCAGCAACAGCACATCACATCCTTGCCAAGCTCTGAGTATCTCTGACTTCTTCTGTCACCAACTAGAGAGATGTCTTGTTTTTAAGGTCTCATGTGATTAGACCAGGCCCATGGGGATATAATCTCCCTATCTGAAGATCCAGTTGTGCGATATATCATGTAACACAATCCCAGGAGTGACAGCTCATCATATTTAAAGGTTCTGGAAGCCAGAGCAGGACATTTCTGTAGGGTCATTTTAGAATTCTGCCTATAAAAATGACTACATAAGTGAATTAAGAATAGATGATTCTGTAAACGTATACAATAAGGATATCTGACCTGCCCTAAGGGGTAAGGAATGAGTTTTCTCCAGAAGTGATAATTAAGGGGAAGTCTGAATGTTAAAATATATATATATATAAAACTGAGAAAGAATGTTTAGGAGAAGGCATATTAGGCATAAAAAACCATGTCTCCAAAGAGCCTGTAAAGGAGGAAGTATGGTGAAATAAAGGAAAGAAACAAAAGGCAGTGGAACTGGAAGTCAATGAGCAAGGAGCCCATGGTTCAAGATAAGCCTGAAAATAGAAATGGGTTCAACCAAAAAGGTGGGAAATATTAACAGTATTTTAGCAGAAGAGAGAGTGGTTTTGACATGATCACATTTGCCTTTGGAAAGAGGGTTTTACATTGTGTTGCAGAGAACAGATTGAATTAAAGCTATAATGCATGTAAATATGCCAGTTACAAGGCTATTGAAATGGTCAAGATGAATTTATTGTAACATGGATTAAGGGAGTAGAGGTACAAATAAAGAGAAATATGGGATCAAAGTTATAAAAGCAGTAGAAATTATATAACTTTATTTGGAATTAAAGATGAAGGTTAAGAGAAGAAAAAGAAAAGGCCAAGTTTCAGTCCTAGGTTTGAGGCTTGCACATCAGAATTAGTGGTGGCAAGATTAACTGATATATGAAACATGAATGATGAATATAATTGCATAAAGAATACCATGAATTTGATTTCTGGACACTGAGCTTGAAGCATCCAAATGTCTGGGTTACACAGACATTAGACTTACGAGCCTAGAGCTCTATACTTACTAGTCCAGTAATCTAGTCTAAAGATACAAATTAAGTCACTGATATACAAATGGCAAACTGAATGGGGTGTGTGTGTGTGTATGTGTGTGTGTGTGTGTGTGTGTGTTTGCACATGAGTGCGTGTGTGTGTTTGTGTGTGTGTGTGTATGTTTGCATAGGAATTAGAGGCCATCAACTCAAATTTTATAGATCAGCAGCAAATACAAGTATTAATTGTGTAGGAATTAGAAGCCTGATTTGATTACACCATATTCTCTCACCAGGCAGAGTAGAATGCATGTGCAAAGGAAACTGAGAAGTATACAGAGATATAAACAGAAAACCATGAGTGTGATTCCACAAAGGACAAAGGGAGAAAATGTATCAAGAAACAGAGTGGTCAACTGTGTTACATGTTGATGAGAAATCAGGGAAGATAAAAACTAAAAACCTCAGGCACACAGAGGTTTCTGATGCTGTGTAGTAAAAGTCCTTAGGTAGTTTGACCAAGGCCAAAACTAAACTGGAATAGTGGAAGAGTTATATGAGAGATGTGTAAATGAAAATAACTTATAGATAACTTCTCTAAGAAATTTGGCTATTAAAGGGAAGAGACAAAAGAGTTTTAGATAGAGTTATACTGGTTGTTGTCACTGTTGCTTTTAATATGGAAGGTTTGAACATGATAAATGCTAGGAATTATTCATTTGAGAGAATGAGGTTGAACATCCATAACAGAGAAGAGATAGCAATGTAAGTTTCCTAAGGAGTTGGGATGGGAGCAATCCAAAGCAAGTTAATAGAAACCTACATGAGACACAGCTTGATGTCATAATTATTAATAAGGACTTTGTGATATTTATGATAATGTAAGGAAATATTTCCTCCTTTGATAAATTTATACCTCTTATGTTTACTCTGGAAGGAAGAACAGTCTTTCCTGAGCCCTTCAGTTTTCCATTTTTATTTCCTTTAGTTTTTAATCTATTTATTCAACAACTATTAAATTAGTGTTTTATTTACAAGGCTAGAATACTTTAAGAACAATCAAATCATTTTCAGAGACTTGATACACTAGTACTTTATTTTTCACTTATCCAACTGCCTGATGCAAATACAAGGGGGACTTGCAAATGACAGAGGTTTGGCCCTACACAGTTATTTTAGGAATCCAGGATTCTGGTGGTTTGCTATGTGTAAAACATAGCTTCCCAAGTTACATTTAATGTCAACATGAAAGATTGCACATGGGAGGGCTTTATGAGCCAGGTATAGAAGTGGTACATGTCACTTCCACTCACATTGAAAGTAATGTCTAGAATTTAATTAAACCCAAATCAAAGAAGGCTGGACAATGGCCTGGTTGTGTGTTCAAGATGGAAGGGATCAGGTTTGGTGAAAAATAGCCAGTATTGAGCATAAGGACTATTGTGTTCTAAGCCCTTTGCTGGGGATTCAGTGATAAGCAAAGAGCAATCAATGATGAACAGAGATGACACTCACTAACACACAGTGCCCTCATGGGCTTACAGTCCAGCAGCAAATACAAGTATTAAATAGACATTTCCAAACATTATATACATTACAAAAGGGGATGAAAGCATGTTATAGGAATCCATATCAGGGAATCCGAGGATTGAAGAAGAAAATGAATCTCACCACATACATGACCACATGTGTTAGTATTTGTTATTGAGTTTCTCGGTTGAGACTGTTGTTATATCCTGTTGAAGATGAAACCTATTAACACTTGGCAGTAGCCCCTCAGAAGCAGAAATGCCTGATTTCCATGCCTAAGTCACATTGCTTTCCTGGTCTCAAAGTCCCTGTTCCATACTACCCAAAGCCCCAAATAAAGCATAGTCCTGAAGATTCTCTCACTTTCCAGCTACCAGTCACACTCAAACCTGCCATTCCATACTTCCCATTGTAACTGGTGGCTCCCTAACCTCGCTGCCTATCAGAATCACCTATGGAACTTTTAAAACCAAATAGCTATAAGCCCCATGCCAGACTTTCTGTATAAGAACCTTCCATAATGGTGGATCTGGAAATCATTTCTGCTTCCAAGACACAGGTAAAGTGACAATTGGACCAGGACAATAATCAATAGCTATGAGTTCTGTTGCCAGGAAATTCCTAAATACAACACTGGATGAATGAGAGGAAATTAAATACCTCCTCTAGAAAATGTAAGATTCTGGAAATCTCTAACCCACTATCCTATTGGTCTCGCTAACAGTTCTTCCACATAGTATGAGATTGGGCATTAAAAGTCTTTTTTTTAATTTGTATACCTGTATGACCCCATTTAATTCACTGATCCTCACTGAACATCAATTTTTCCATTGCCACAATAAGGTTACTAATAATATATTTGCCTAAATTAAAAAGTTGATTAGAGTGCCGGGCACAGTGGCTCAAGCCTGTAATCCCAGCACTTTGGGAGGCCGAGGCGGGTGGATCACAAGGTCGAGAGTCGAGACCAGCCTGGTCAACATGGTGAAACCCCGTCTCTACTAAAAATACAAAAAATTAGCTGGGCATGGTGGCACGTGCCTGTAATCCCAGCTACTCAGGAGGCTGAGGCAGGAGAATTGCCTGAACCCAGGAGGCGGAGGTTGCGGTGAGCCGAGATCGCGCCATTGCACTCCAGCCTGGGTAACAAGAGCGAAACTCCGTCTCAAAAAAAAAAAAAAAAAAAAAAAGTTGATTAGAAAATTAAATAGGAAAATTAGTGTCCAATCAGTGTCCATATGCTGTGAAAACTATCAAAGCAGAATGTGTCAACTTTCATTAATGTAGGTAAATGTATTCTTTTCAAGGCTTTACTTCCAATCTTCCCCTTAAGTGCTACATCCAGAAGAAAAATTATTTCTTCTCTGCAGAAGTCATTTTGAAGACAGTCTTTTTCTGAGAGCTAGTGTGGTTGGGAGTTCTGAAGAGGAAGTTACAGTTTTAAGTCAGATTATCTCATTTTATTATATTCTTGTGTTTATTTTCCTTTTGCCATGTTTAAGCCTTAGGCAAATGTTCTTTAGATGTACTGCTCTTGTCTCAGAATGCTGTGGACCATCAGTAGAAACAGTTTAGATTTGGACTGCATGGTAAAATGGAAAGCAATAACCCTCCAACCACAACCAAGCCAGGGTATTAATAACTGTATAGAGAGAAAAAAAGAAAAATAATAATATTGAAAAATGGAGATTCCCCAACTAGTTTCATAGTTTCAGATCTGAAGGATCTGAGTTGTATTTTTATCAAGGAAAATATTTTTTCTGAATACTGTCGTCCAAAATGTCAATATTAAAATCTGAATCAGAGGACTCTGAATGGAAAAGAAGTTTGATCGCTGACACCTAAGGGTCTGAAGTGTGTGTGGCCACGTGGAAAAGTCGAAGGATGCGCTGTCGGATCTCCTTCGTCTTCACTCCATAGACAATTGGGTTGAGCACAGGAGGAACCAGCAGATAGATATTGGCCATGATGATGGGCAGGAGAGAGTCACGCCGCTTACTAAAGCGGTGTACCATAGACAATCCAATGAAAGGTACATAGAATATGAACACAGCACACACATGGGAGACACAAGTACCAAATGCCTTGGCCTGGGCTTCACGTGTCAAGCCCAACACAGTCTTAAGGATAAGCAGATATGAGAAGGAGATGAGAAGTGAGTCCAGGCCTATGGCAGAGATGATGACAATAAGGCCATAGATGACATTGACCTGGATATCAGCACAGGCCAGCTTCATGACATCTTGGTGTAGGCAGTAGGAATGGGAAAGGATATTGGAGTGGCAGAAGGGCAGCTGCTTGATGAAGACAGGAAGGGGTGCCATCAGTGCAGCCCCCCGTACCACAGCAGCCACACCAATTTTGGTGACCCGAGGCAACGTAAGCACTGTGGCATGGCGCAGCGGGTGGCAGATGGCCACATAGCGGTCAAAGGCCATGGCCAGCAGCACTGTGGATTCCATGCCAGATAAGGAGTGGATGGCGAACATCTGTAGCAGACAAGCATCAAATTGGATGGTGGTGGAATTGAACCAGAAGATGGCCAACATTTTGGGCATGGATGAGGTAGAGATTAGGATGTCAATGCCTGAAAGCATGCAAAGAAATATATACATGGGCTCATGCAGGCTGTGCTCGGTCCGCACAACGTAGATGATCATCAAGTTACCTAGCACGGCAATAAGGTAGAGGGAGCACAATGGGAAGGCCAACCAGAACTGAGCCTCTTCCAAACCAGGGAGGCCTATTAGGATGAAGTATGTAGCACTGGATTCATTACCACTGGGACCCACCATCATGGAGAAGCTGAAGCGTGACCAGTACCGGGAGGGTAGAGGCTGGAATGCAAAGATAAGCCATTGTCAGATTCTTGAGAATCTCAATACCACACCTCACTCTATCTTGACATCCTATTCTCTAACTCAAACTCTAATTCCATTTCTTATGCAATCTAATGAAATTCAAGGACCAGACACAAATTCATCCAGCTCTACTTACTAACCCCACTTGTATTGTTAATTCTGGCAGCAAGTGAAAGACTAAGACAAAAATTTTAAGCATATTCCAAATCATTTAGTTCTCCAAAGAAAGGCTACTGACTGAATATAAGAGTCTTAGCTGATAAAAAAAATCTCATAATTTCCTCTCTCCTAGCCTTCCTTTATGCTTCCCTGTACTCAATACTAACTGCAATTCTAAGCATATCATTAGACTAACCTTTAAAAAAATTCCAGTCCAAGTGTAATACTAGTAATAACAGATTAATATTGAAACCTAACTCCATCACTAATCTAATGATCTCCCCAATTCTAGACTTAATTCTGACTCTAACATTAACTTAAGATTTGATCTTTTAATGACCATTTCAATCTTAATTTAAAGATTGAATTTATGATATTCAACTCACAATTCATATTCTATTTTATTACGATAAACCCTAATCCAACAAAAAACTGACACCAAATTAATCTTGAACTCTAATTCTACATTTCTTTCTTTTCCAAATGACCCCCAAAGTTTTACACTTGTCCAGACTACTCAGTTTATTTCAAAAAAAGGAATGACAGGTATAGTGTATGCCATTGGTGTCCCAGCCATATCCCAATCACAAAGCCAATGCAACCATCTCCCATCTGCACTGAGTATTGAGTGCTAAGAGCTCACAGCTCCTCCTCTTTACAGAGGATTGTCCTTGGTCAAATGGGAGGCACCTCATCCAGAAGGGTACACTATGCCCCCATGATGCACATCTAGAGGCCAGTGCCTCCCTGACATAAGGGTACCAAAGGACTCCAGGTGTAACATTGCCTCCGGGTGCAACAAATACTTCTATGCAATTTGTACTTCAGAGCTTTCCAAGGAACAAGGCTGAAGCTAGTCTCCAGCTGAGACCACAGCCCTGCTTCGCTTTCTTCCCCTGCCCTACCAGGATTCCCTCCTTGTTCTCATAACAGTACTCCCTCAATATGTCATTTGGACAAGAACCCGCACCTCAGGTTCTGCTTCTAGGAGACCCACCCGACCTGAGAGAGTGGGATTTATATAACTAGAATACTGACCCTGAGGGGTGATGGCATTAGAAGCACCAGAGGCATAATCAATCCTATAGCAGAGTTCAGTCTACAAATGAACTGAATCTTACTATACAAAATGATTTACATAAGAAGATATTGCTGAGGTGAGAAATGTCAGATTTGGGTCACCTCAGATTGCATGTCTCTGTAAAGAGTGAACTGACTCCCTCCCTCCCTTCCTTTCCTCCATCTACAAACATTCATGTGCTCCTACTACAGAGTAGCCCTCCTCTGAAATGCTTGAAACCAGAAGTGTTTCAGATTTGGGATTTTTTTTTTTTGTATTTTGCAATATTTGCATTATACATACCCAGATTAGCATTCCTAATTCAAAAATCCAAAATTTGAAATGCTCCAATGAGCATTCTCATTGAACATCATCCTGGCACTCAAAAATTGCAGATTTTGGAGTCTTGCAGATTTTGGATGTTCAGATTAGGGATACTCAAACTGTAGTTAATAAATCATGTATATTGCAGTTTTAAAAATAGATTTGGCCCTTGAGAGTTTGAGAGCTGGGGTAGGAGTTTCTGCACGGGTTACCAGAAAATAACTGAGTATAAGTTAGAGTTCATGGCCAGCATCAGAAGAGGTTCCCGGGCTCAGAGTGTGTCACGGATCTCTGTACCACCATCAAGCAGTCACCAGAGATTCAGATATTTCCTCAGACCAGACAGATTAGTGGGAAAACACTAGGAGCATGAAGAGTAGAACAGAGGGTGAGAGTTTGTAATTCAATCTGCTGGGAAGGGAAGGTTTAAAATGGAGAAACCATATTTAACCTAGAACTTCAGGCAAAGAGGGCCAAAGTCATCAATGTCCCTTCTTGCTGCTGCAGCTTCTCTGCAGCATGTGGCACTGGGAGCTGTTTCCTTCTTCTTAGAGCTTCTCTCTCTCCCTCCTGCTGTTCCTCAGCTCTCTCAGATCACTAATTATTGGTTTCATTTCTGGATCTTCATTCTCCTCTCCAAAACTGTATCTTCAGTGATCTTCTTGTTCTATACTGTCTTCCTGGGGCATCTCATTCCCTTCAGTAAAGCCATTTTTGTTGTACAAACAATCAAATTCTCTTTTATAAATCAAGTTCACAGTTCGGAAGATGTAGTAAAAGAACTGGTTGTTTTAGAGACACCCGGTTGTCTCTCAAGCATATCAAACTCTCCATGTTCAAAAAACAAACTCTTCCAGAGGCAGTATTGTATAGCTGATATGAGTATGATCCATCTTACAGTCTAAACCCAGTTTACAACCCCTAGAGCTGTGTGATCTGGGGTAAACCATTTAACCTTTCTAAGCCTCAGCATCCTCGTCATTAAAACGATTATAAGAGTCCCTGCCTAATAGGGGGTCAATGTGAAGATTAAAAATAAGACGATGAATGTAAATCATTTAACACAGTACCTCACACATCATAAGTATGCAAAAAATAATATCTGCTGCTGTTAACTATTTTACTCCAGTGTTTTGTTTTGTTTTGTTTTGTTTTGTTTTGTTTCTGTTATGGTGGCCTGAACCATCATACAAGCCAGGTTCTCTGATCCTGACTGCCATGCCTCTAGGGTAACCTTCCTCATCCACACAATCCCAACAATCTAACCAGATGAAACCAGCTCACTCCCTATTATTTTTTAAAATACCCTTGAAACTCCAAATTAGTTCCAGAATAAAGACTAAACTTCTTATGCTATGGTTAAAGGTCTGTCTTTCATCACCCAGACCTGGGTTTCTTCTTCACCACAACCTCTAGCCACATTGGAGGCCATGCTATTTCAAAAATGTAGCCTTAATTCCCATGCCTCTGTGTCTTTCTGTCTTTTTTACTTCTCATACTCTTTTCAAGAAAAATTCTTCCTCCCAGATCTTCCTCCTTGACTTCCCACACTCGTTTTTCATGTCCTGGCTTACTATCTCTCTCCTCTAGTACTATTCCTAAGCTTCTTTTACACAGGCACAATTAACTGTTTACTGTCCTGTGCTCAAAATGAATAGTATTTAGGTCTTTTTTTAAAGTATTTATTCTCTTGATAATAACTATAACAATTGCTATATTTTCTGCTGAATTATGAGATCCTGAACACCAGAAACCCTATTATATTTATTAATTAATGTTTAGTTAATGTTTGTTGAAGATGAAAATGAGTTTTATTAACAGGAGAGTCTCTTAGTATACAACTAGTATACTAAGTCTCTTAGTATACAACTCACTAGTCTCTTTGTATACAACTAGTGAGGCTAACACAGCCAAGGGCATATACAGGACTGCCTGTTAACTGAACTAAAGGGACTTTTGAGAAGGATGAAATAATGTTTGGAAGGTCATCACAGAGTAATTTAAATTTTAGAAAAATAACCTTTGGGTCAAATATAAAAGACCTTTCTTATCCAAGGATCAGAGGGCAAGAGAAATACATATAACAACAACAACAACAAAAAAAAAAAAAAAAAAAAAAAAGAGCCGCTGCAAAGTCTTGGTCCATATAAATGCCAAGGGGACATGAAGCACAATTTGTGCCTAAGAGCAGGAGAGACCCAAGATCTCTCACCTAGAGACATTTGCAAGAAGGTTCTAGCACTCCAGAGGGCCAGATATCCATGCCATCTATTAGTTTTATATGAACAGAGCAGGTTGATACCCAGGATTTAAAAAAAAAAATGTGCTGTCTCAGGAGAAACACTGGGAAAGAACTCTGGCTGGGCATATGCAATACTATTGCCTCTGAAGGTAGAGTAATGTGGTGAGCAGAATCCTGGGGCTTGGAATACAAGTCTTGGCACTAAATAAATGCAGAGAATAATAATAACTGCATAGTGCTGCTATGAAATTATATGAGATAAGGGACGTCAAAAGGAATTGCAAAAACCAAATCAGAGTACACAGAGTACATTGTTTTCGGCAAAAATGGGCAACGAGGTCTCTGAAAATGTATGAAATTTCATATACTTTTCAATTTCCCAAATTTGTCACCTTAATCACCACTCAGCCTCAATGTACACAGTCATACACACACATATTTACTAGCAGTCAATCTCCCACAATAGTAAGAATGGGCACTGATATAAAGACACTAGAAACCAAAAAAAGGGAAGATTCAGCTGGCCTGGGAGGGAGGTGCCTGGGAGTATAAAATGGGCAGCTATCACTGGGGCTAAAATATCAGCCTGGACCCCAGAAGACTACAGCAGGAGAGAAATGAAGGAATGGAGAGGGAGTCAGCCAGAGAGCCCAAGTGCCACCCTTTAGACTGGCCATCCCTGATGTGTCCCAATGCTGTACAATCCCTCCACAAGACAGACAGAGGGACAGGTGACTTCCAGATGGCCTTCTGGCTTGAGCAACTGTTAGCAATTAGAACTCAGTGAGATGGTTTGGAGCTCTGGAGGAAGTTGGAACTAAATTATTTTTAAAATAAGGCACAATCAAGAAAAATAAACAAAGCATTTTTTTTTAATTTTTTAGAAAGCCTACACACTGCTCTAATCCCCAAGGAATAGCCCTGTGCTGAGATTTTCTCTGAATAACTAGAACTATCTTAGCAAGTTCAGGAATGTTTCTTGGGGAACTGTGAAGGATATCTTAGCCCTTTCTCAGGAATAGGAGAACAGGAGCTCCCAGCTGTAAAGACTGGAAATCCACCTGGAGGCCTTCAGTCTTCTTCCTTCCTCTGGGCTTCAGAACTCTGCTCCTAATGCTAGCCCACCTGCCTCCCAGCCCATCTTCACATTCTTCCCTAGAACTCCTTCTCACAGATCCATGGAAAACCAGTCAGAGAGGTAGACCAGGGCCTATTAGCCCTATCTCTTCTGACCCAAGAAAACAATGAGATCACCTGTGACCCTAATTTTGTTGTTTTTATTGAGTACCTACAAAGTGACAAACTATATAAATATTATCTCTAAATATAAATATTATCCATCCATATAAATATTATCTCTAAGCTGGGAACAGCTCTGCAGAGGGTGAGGGTGTTTCATTCAACCTGCTGGGAAGAGAAGGTTTAAGGCAGAGAAACCATTATTTAACCTAGAACTTCAGGCAAAGGAGTCAAAATCATCAACTGTCCCTTCTCGCTGTGCCATGGATCCTCTTTACATTATGGGTGAGTACTCCGGATCCTCTCTCTATTATGAGTGAGAAAACTGAGGCTCCAAGACATTAAATGTTTAACAGGTGACCGGCAATGCAGAAACTTAACCTAGATCGTCTCACACCAAGCCTCTAAGCTTTCCCTGATTCTAGGCTGCCTTTAATTTTGCTGCACCTTCCGGAAACTAATAAAATCTACCCAAAGGGCAAGGTATAAGAAGGGCTTGGTAAGTAGGACAGCTGCCCAGGGTATACTCTTACAAGGGAAACCAAAAGGGAAGCAAAGAAGACTCCCCTTCACTGGAACTTGGGGCACTCACCTCTTCTTTCAGCCCTAACTCCCCTGGCTGTGACATGGGTAGGCGCCACAATGGAGATTAAAAGGCTTGTCCTCTACCAAGTATTTCCTAATTATCTAATTAGAGCCTCTCATCAACCTGTCAAGCAGATATCATTGATCCCATTTGACAGATAAGAATGTTGAGGGTTTTAGTTAGATCCCTTAGTGCTAAATCCATTGCTTTATAAAATGCCAAGCTACTGCCCTCCATGTCTCCTTAAGAAGGGACTTTGGTTTGTAAGCGCTATTTCAATATTAATCTCCCAGGAATCCCACACTGAGGACCCATGAGTCCAGAGGCCCCTCTTGGACTCAGGACACATGACCAGCTCTCCCCACTTAGGTTCAGTGTGGAAGGAGAACAAGTAGGAGATTCATTGTCACTGTGACTATCTGGGCTAAACACACAGAGTGTTTCATGCCCGGAGAAATGGAGGGGGAGGCCTTTGGCACTGTTGTCAGCCTCTGGGAATATTTAGAAAAGAATGTCCTTGGAGAGAAGCCCAGACATACCTGGGAGCCTCTGGCTCTTAGTCGCAGGCACAGAGAGGGAAGGCAGATCTCAGGGGCAACGCTGTGACCAGCAAGGACTGGAGGAGCTCATCACTTGATTCTTAGAGTCCTTTCCCTAATGCTTCATGAGGATAGTAGCCCCAGAATCACTTCCACACACATTATCTGCATCTGCTGTGCCCTACACCTTGCTTGTATTTAATAAAGCAGATGAACCCTTGCAAGGTGTTGGCCACTCTTCTTAAAATGGCCAAGACGAAAATGGAACGGTGAGAGAGTGCAATTTCTAATGCCCGAAAAGCAAAGTGAAGCCCTCGCCCCACCCTACTCACCTAAGACAGCCTGACCACCTACAAACATCCTAGGCAGAGTCCCTAGGGTTCAGGTCTCTGCTCCTCCACTTCCTGAGTAGGACCAGGTACGTGTTCTAAAGATCTGCAAAGCTGTGCCTAGTTACCAGTTCCCTTTGGAGCCACTCTGGCTGCAAGCAAATGTATGGCAGGGGAAATGCACAAAGTGGGATTTTGATCAGTGTACTCATTTTTTCAACACCACTGACTGACTTCTGTACTAGACTTTGCTGAGCACCGGAGATATAGTTCCAGCCTTCCAAGGGTGGGGAGAAACTGAGACAAATATGCAGCCATCACAGCACATTATAATAAGTTCTGGGACAAGGGTAAGCAAAAGGGCCTCAGAAGCAAAACAACAATAGCTCAGCAAGCTTTTTAGGCTCCAAAAGCTTCCCTGAGGAGGTGACATCTGAGCCATGACTGCAGGTCCTGTTGCAGGAGGGTAATGGGGCAGGGGCACAGGCAGTTAATGGGGAGGGGTCACAGCCGCATTCAGTTAGGCAACAAAAACACATTGTCAAAAACTGGAAATGAAACAGTACATAAATCAGACAAAATGATGGCTCTTATGGAGCTCACACACCATGAGGCCAATAATAAAAAGTAAACAAATAACATTTCAGATAAAGATCAGGGCACAAAAGACAAGACAGAGTGATAGGACAGAGGAAAATGGGTGCAGGATACTCATAATGGAGACAGGGGTCAGAAAAAGCCTCTCTGAGGATGTGACATGTGAGCTGTGTGATGAGAAAACAACAGCCATTCTAAGATCCAGGGAAAGTGCATTCTAACCGTGGAAGACAACAAGAGAAAAGGGTCTTTCAGCAAGAATAAGATTGGGGGATTCACGGAACAAAAAGAAGGTCAAGGTGGCCAGAGCATCAAGAGTACAAGAGAGTTTGAGAAGATGAGGTGAGAGGAGGACAAGGACCTCATCAGGTAACAGGGTCTTACAGGGTATGGCAAGGAGCTTTGGTTTAATTATGAGTGACTTGGGGGAATTTCAGCAACAGACCTGAACTAGTTTGTTTTTAAAAGTACATCCTGGCTAATACAAAGACTCAGAAAGAGAACAGACCTTGTTTGGAAAGCTGAACGTGGCTTAGTGTAGCTGGGGTAAAGAGTACAGGGCAAGGGGTGCTTCAGTGTGGACACTAATCTACTTTTTAAATGGGCTGAAAACTGAATCCTGATCCTAGACACAGACCAAGCTGAGATCGGAGCTGCAGGAGGATGATGAAGTCCCAATCTTGGCCACAGCCCGACTCCTGATGCACAGCATAGGATGAGCCCAACCTCACTCAGAGCCTCCACCTCCACCCCAGCTGCAGCCTGATCCCCAGTCATAGACTGAGCGTCAACCACACTCACCCTGTTCATACACTAAAACCCAACCCAACCCCAGTGCAGTCCCAGTTTAACCCCAACCCAGCCTGTCCTCCGTCCCCATTTATATCAGCCCCTGCCAGCCTCTAGATAGGCATGCTAGCAAACTAGTCACTGAAAAACTGCTTGAAAAACTACATCCAATACCCACACGCTTCTCTTCATCGTGCAAACACAGAGATCGCTAAGGCTGCCTGTCCTTTGAGTCAGGGGCTTCCTGCACATCTCCGACTTCTGGTTCTTCACAGCCTGACTTCTCATGCTCTCAGCAGGTCTAACAGGAGACCCCTAGCTGCAAGTAACCCATGCACCTGGACATGCTCCTGGCCTCCTGCACTCACCTCAACTGTATGGAAGGAATGTGTGATCCCCCTTTGTCCAGTCCTCCTCTTGAAGAGGTCTGGCAGACTGCACTGAAATACAGCCTCTCTGTCTCCGCCTACTCCCTTGGACCTCCCTGGTCAGGATTATTTTTTCTCTGCCTTACCCCTCCCTCCTTCTGCTTCTTCCTGCAGGGTGGGGCAGAATGCTGTCCAAAGGGTTTATCAGCAGGTACGCCTCACTAGCCCACTGTGGTTTTGGTCTGCTTCTTAGCTTCCATGCCCTGGGAGGATATGCCTGGGGGTATGGGGGAGAGGGGCAAGGGGGAAAGGGGCCTCTAGAGTCCTTCCCAGGTGGGCCACTGGGATCCTTATGCCAGCCCCCAGTGTGAAGTTAGATAGGGAAAGTGAGTAGAAAAAAGCTGGAAGAAACTCATTAGTGTAGCCAGTATCTTCATGGAGGGTCTTTCTCCAAGTCTTTTCTTAGGCTTACCAAACTCAACCAGGAGAACAGCAAAGGAAGTTTGCAGAGAAACTCCACAGTAAAGTGTCAGCCCACTTCCATCCTGAAGTGTTCTTTCTGTCCAGACTTCTTTCCTTTGGTGGACCCTATTTAGGTCCTTGTTGAGCTTGGAATCCACTGGGTCCATCCTCTTTTTCCCAAAGCCCTAGGCAACATCTTTTTTTTTTTTTTTTTTTTTGTCTCCCAGGCTCTGGTGCCTGTGTCTGGCTAACTCATAATCAAGGTCCCTAGGGACAGTGCCTCTGCCAACCATCTACTCTCTGGCCTTGGTTACTGGTTGAGGACAGAGGATGTAGTTTCTTTAACCCTCCCCACCCTCAACACCAGCATGTAAGACCAATAACATATGATTTCTCTCTTAAGGACAAAAATAGTGAGGGAACATTTTAGAGAGACAGAGAACAATTTAAATGTAAAACTAAATACCTCATATTTTGAAATAAGTAAAAACTACATCTATAAATAAAACAACATGATTTGTAGTTGGTCTCTCCTTGTTTTTTACTGATTAGTTTCTCAACTGTAAGTTTTAAATACAGAACACAAGGCATGCTAACTCAAACCATGCAAAATTACATAATGGCAAATCAGATCATTCTAACTCAGACCACATCAAAATTACTGGTGACAAGAGCTTCTGGTGCCTGCAGAGCCTGAAGCCTGACACTTGCTATCAGAACCCCAGAGCCTTCTCTGCTGCCTCCGTTAACCTCATTAACTTAGACTTGGCAAAGACTTTTAAAAATGCCACAGGGACTTCTACTTCCATCCAATATGGCGTAACGGTGAGACATGTGGAAGGACAGTGAGACCAGACACAAGATGAACAATGAGGTCAATGCTAGTTTTGTCAGCTCCCTGCCTTAAGGGAGTTTCCATGTGTCAATAGAAGGGAGGCTGACTGGCTTCCCCTCCACCCTTGCTTTCCCAGAGGTATCAGGAGAAACTTCCTACAACTGAGGCCTTTTTTTTTTGGAATTTTTTTTTTTTTTTGGTACTTTAGGCTCTGGGGTACATGTGCACATCCTGCATCCTGCAGGATTGTTGCATAGGTACATACATGCCATGGTGGTTTGCTGTCTCCATTCCCCGAACCCCCTGTCATCTAAATCAGGCATTTCTCCCAGCGTTATCCCTCCCCATCATCCCCGGGCCCCGCTGTCCCTCCCTACCACCCCCCCACCTAGCCCAGTGAGTGTTGTTCCCTTCCCTGTGTCCAAGTGTTCGTGTTGTTTATCGCCTGCCTATGAGTGAAAACATGCAGAGTTTGGTTTTCTGTTCTTGTGTCAGTTTGCTGAGAACGATTGTTTCTAGATTCATCCATGTCTCTAAAAGGACACGAACTCATCATTTTTTATGGCTATGTAGTATTTCATGGTGTATATGTGTCACATTTTCTTTGTCCAGTCTATCATTGATGGGCATTCGGCCTTTGACAGACCAGCATAAAAGGGAAGGGAGAGGTGAGGATAGCGTGACCTGCTATTGAGGCAGAAGGGCAGGGTTTAGGGAGGCCAGTGCCTCAGGTAGCAGAAGCAAGAAAGGTAGGAAGAGGTGACAAAAGCCCTTGAAATCCTTGTGTTCAGGATGAAGGTGTGGTCCAGCCTGTGAAAAGGTGGAGTGAGGAAACACCAGGTTTCCTTTCTTTCCCACAGACTGAGCTATAACCCAGGCTGACCCCAGGCCAAGAAGCAGGGCATCTTAGAGTCACGTCTCTCTTTGGAAATCATTTCTGCTGCTCACAGCTAGACTTCTTCAATCTCCCTCCTCTAGTCCAAGATACGTACAGACACCACACATCAATCAATGCCCAGAAATACAGATGCTGTTCCCACTCTTGTGTCATACAATACACACCCGATACAAAAAGAAAGTATGCCTTAAAACATAGACACAAAACATAGGCACTAAAATACCATCAGTAAAACAATATGCACACAGAATTTGGATATTACATTTCACCAACTTACCACTAATAATACATATACCACACAAAATGGTTTTACATCACAAATATTGTGCACAGTAGCTGCCCAAACATGCTGAAAGATATAGGCATCCCAATACTACACATTCCACACACTCATGCACCACACTCACATATTACAAATCTGAAAAAAAGGTAGAGGCAGCAACGAAGAGGGAGTCCATACCCATGACTGAGAGGATGATGAGGAGTCTGTAAACTACACTGACCCTTGCGTCAGTACAGGACAGCTTCATTATATCTTGGTGCAGACAGAAGGAGCGTGTGACAGTATGTATTCTTACCAGATACACATAAAGGTACTGCCCACCATACAGGTACAGACACTAGCATTCTCACGTAGACACGTATTATATACCAACTAACAGATACCACAGAAATACAATAAATGTGCTATCAGACACATGACTTATGAAACATACATGCCATGACATAGCTACCACAGTCACCAGGACAAAGCCCACACGTTTTCCATGTGTCCATGTGTGCACTCTCACTCACATACACACACACTGAAAAGCACATGTCCACATAAACACACCCGCATATTCACACCCACAACCAGAATACATGGCACTCTTATGGACAAATAGTCTTGCAGAGCCACACAGATGCACATGGCAGATTTCACAAATCTGCCAATACACCCTCCTGCATACAGAAACTTAAGCATTGCATGTGAGCTGTTTCTTGTCTTGTTACTGTCTCTCTAATTACTATCCCCCAAATACCTTCAAAAACCCTAATTATGACTAACCATTTTAAGGTATTTGCAATAACTTTTACAGTCAACACAAATTAATCAACACGGGTACATGAGGGCAAGAACATTAAAATCATACTTCAAGTCTGGAGTGAATCATGAGGTATGATCTTTATAGCCTCCTCATGTCAAAACTAGATGTATTTTCTAACTGAGAAAGAAGCATCCAAGACCATCATAGCAGAGGGACTAGGGCAATCATTCTCCAGAAGGTCCAGACAAGGTCATAAGTTCAGTACTGACACATTCCTGGAGACAGAATACATGGTCTATTTAAATTGCTGGAAGAAGACAGCACAATAAGTTTGATACTTTAATCACCAAGGCATTCAATAGGATCCTAATAGTCCCACCTTCTGTAATATTGACAACACTAGCTACCTCGTGAGAACATATGGAGGACCCTTGAACGAATCTCTTTGGTCTTGGCTCCATAGACAAGGGGGTTCACTATGGGCGGTAGCAGCAGGTAGGTATTAGCCATAACCACATGGAGCAGGGAGGTGGGACCACCCAGCCTATGCACCACTGAGAGCCCAATAAGTGGTACATAGAAGACCAGAACAGCACAGAGGTGGGAGATGCAGGTGTTGAAAGCCTTGAGTGCTGCCCCGCGAGAGGACAGCTCCAAAACAGCCCACAGGATGAGGATGTATGAGAAGCCAATGAAGAGGGAGTCCACACCCATGACTGAGAGGATGATGAAGAGTCCATAAACTACATTGACCCTGGTGTCAGTACAGGACAGCTTCATCATATCTTGGTGCAGACAGAAGGAATGTGTGACAGCATGTGTTCGGCAGTAGGACAACCGCTTCAGGATGAAGGGCAGTGGGAAGAAGAATACAAACCCCCTGGCCAGGGCAGCTAGTCCGATCTTGGCCACAGTAGGCCCTGTCAGCACAGAAGCATGGCGCAGTGGGTGGCAAATGGCCACAAAGCGGTCAAAAGCCATGGCCAGCAGGACAGCTGACTCCATGGCCGACAGAGCATGGATAAAGAACATCTGGGCCAGGCAAACATTGAACTCAATCTCCTGGATGCCCATCAGGAAAAGGCTGGCCATCTTGGGCATAGTGATAGAGGAGAGGACTATGTCAATGGTAGAAAGCATGGCCAGGAAGAGGTACATGGGCTCATGCAGACGCCTCTCCACGCGAACGATGAGGACAATGGTCAGGTTGCCCAAGGTGGCCAAGGCATACATAAAACACAGTGGGAAAGCCAGCCAAAAGTGTATGGTAGGCCCCAGGCCAGGGATACCCACCAGAAGGAAGTATGCTGGGTGGACCAGAGTTCCATTTGAAGTGGCTATGACAGGGACCAAGAGCTGGGGCTTCTGCATCCCAAATCCAGGATCTAGGGAAGGGAAAAGTAGAAACATCATTCAGTTATGGCTCAGAGGAGAGCAAGGACTAATGAGGAAAAGGCATTGGAGTGGTGACAGTAACAAACAGGACTAAGTCCCCCTAGTAATTCTGAACCCTAGTTTCTCTGCTCTGATTCTCCTTATATAAACTTCCTGAACACCTTGAGCCTTACCCTGGCCCTCCAAGGCCCCAGTGCTGCCCAAGCAGATTCTATTACTGTCCCATGAATCTCAGCATGTGAAGACCCACTCATAAAACATGTAAGACAGTCCTGCTCCTTCAGAGCTGATGTTGCTGGCCAGGGTACTGCTCTTAGCTTCTTCCCATCAGAGTAGACTTGTAGGGTTGCTCCGAATGGTCCACACTGACCAGCTCTTCTGGTGTATGGTGGGGTTAGGGTGGGTCTGGGTTCAGAGTTAGAGGCTCAGTTTATAGCTTCCTTTAAGATCCACTATAATCTAATTTAAGATAGGGAGCAGGAGCTTGGTCTGGTATGAGATTTCAAGAGAGGTTTTGTTTTTAGGCCTGAATACCATTTCTCAAATTTTCCTGATAGAATCATCTAAAGTAATTGAAAACACCATCCCTCCAGGTCCTACCTGAGGCCCAGAGAATCAGAATTGCCAGGGAAGGGTTTTGGAAATGTGTTTAAAAAACGATAGTCCCCTTTCCCCTTAGGAAATTTGTTTTTCAAATCAGAGTACTTTGGGGAAAGTTGTTCTGGTGTTCTGGAGGGTAGGAAGTTGGGAATGAAGAGGGACTATCATTTCCATTTCAAGCTCCCAAACCAACAATAGAACAGCAACTGCTATTAGGATCTCTCAAGGCCCACCTAAGAGTCAGTCCCAGCTTGTGCCCAGCAAGAGGAGTATGTCATGGAAATCAGATGCAGCTGAGCCATGAAAAGAAAATCAGCCAGTGCTGCCTGCTGCTGTTACTCCACAGTGTTCACAGGCACACCCCGCCCCCCACCTACTCGTGATCACACAATGCC